TTTTAATTTTCTTTTCTAGTTGTCTTTCCACTTCATTTTTGAAATTTTTAAAACAATCAAACACTTGATTTTTCTCGGATATCAGATATACATATGCATATCGAGAAAAATCATCAATGAAAGACACAAAGTAGGCATTTTTGCAGATTGTTTGCGTGGAGAAAGGTCCACAAACATCTGAATGGACGACTTCTAAGAGGTTAAGACTTCTTGTGGAACCAATTTTCCTTGTGTTTGTTAATTTCCCTTTCCAACAGTCAATACAATTTTGCATATCATTAAAATCCAACGTTGGAAGCATTTGTTCTTTAACTAGAATTTCTAATCTTTGCTTGTTAATATGTCCAAGCCTTCTATGCCAAAGCATTGAAGACCCTTCATTAGTCAGAGACCTTTTCAAAGATAAATTTGATTCCACTGTCAAACATTTTGAATTTAACATTACTTGACAATTCAACCTCCAAAGATCATTGTTTAAAAAACAAATACCAAGCAAAAGATTCATATTACTTTTCTTATAAATCCGTACACTTTCATCATCCCCAACAAAAGCATAACCGTCTTTTACAAGCTTTGAAGCAGAAATTAAACTTCTAGTTAACCTAGGAACATAAAGAACATCTAGCAACTGTAAAACGAAAACACTTGACAACTTGAGCTTTAGGGTGCCTATTGCCTCCACAGCTACTTTATTCCCATCCCCAACGTGGACATCATAGACCTCATTTCTTGAAATTTCCCTTCTTGTGAACCCCTGCAAGGAATTGGTAATATGCACCGAACAACCAGTGTCAAACCACCAAGAATTTGGAGGGACTTCAACAAGATTAACATTAACACAGACAAAAACATTTTCAATTTTATTACCTTTCTTAGGTGCCCATTTCTTTCGTTTATCACAGTCCCTCTTCAAGTGACCAAATTCTTTGCAGAAATAACATTTAATATTTTCAATGTTGCCTTTAAAACCTTGAGATCCCTTGGAGGATGATGGAGTATCATTTCCAGCAGCAAGAGAATAGGAAAAAGGTTTATATGGCTTACCAGATGTCGAGATAGTTTTCCTCGTAGTCTCTGCCTTTATGAAATTCACTGTTTCATTTGACACCCTTTTGATCCTGCTTTCTTCTTGAACACATATGGAAATGGGATCATTCAGGCTCCACTTCTCCTTTTGTGTGTTGTATGACGTCTTCAGTTGTTCATATGCATCTGGGAGGGAATTAAGGGCCATATGAACAACAAAAGCATCATCAATGGGAACCTCCAGGTCTGTGAGCTTCGCAGCAGCCTCCACTAGCTTCAGAATGTGTTCTCTGACAGTGCCTTTCCCATCATATTTCAGAGTTGTCAAGGTAGTCATGAGGTTTCCCATCTCTCCCTTCTCTGAAACCTTGAATTTTGCCTCAATTGCCTCCAGGAAATCCTTCGCTTTGTCAGTTGCAGGAATGCCTCCTCTAACAGCTTCACTAATGGATCATTTGATCACCAATAGTGCCATGCGATTCGCTTTCTCCCATTTTTCAAATTTCAGCCTTTGTTCAACGGTGCTATTGTTATCCAGTGCTTGTGGTTCATCTTCCCTCAATGCAAGATCGTAGTCCATTAGTCCAAGAATAATCTCCACATCCTGTCTCCATTTTTTGTAATTTCCTCCACTTAAAGGCTCAATAGAGGAAAAATTCATTGAAGTGGGATTCACTGCAGAAGCTATGAAATTAGACATTATGAAAACAATGAAGTAGGGCAAACACAGTAAGATACAACACCTTTGGGTGAGGAACATTTACTGCAAGAACTTAATCCATGCATAGCCATTTAGTTATTTGTTAAAAATATTTCAAAACTCAAGTCTTTAGACAAGAATTCGAAACACAGTTAACCATTCACCAAACTATGCCCTATTCCATTAATCGAACCATTCATACGTTGCCTTCTTTAGAAGATCTTATATGCATGTTATGACTAAATGAACTACGAATTCCCATACTTCTGATTTCTTAGTTTAACATTTCAATATGAACCCATTTTGATGTAGTTCATACGATCAATTATACTAAGAAAACAAATCCACACACGATCCTCCTTTATTCTGCAGTCACTGAAGAACACTATGAAGTATATATACATATATACAAAAACTTGAATCTCAGTGAGACTAAAAGGCTCTGATACCAATTGTTAGAATAAGCATTTAGTCCCAAACTAAGATTACGATAAACAATAAGATAATTCAAATGAATGAATCAGTGTATATATATACATACCTGCAGAAGCCATGAGGTAATGCGAACACACTGAAAGGAAGTTAACAGCAAGTCTTCTACTCACACAGCCCTTATGTCCAATACTAGCGATAGTCTAGTGATCGAGTGAACGTATTTTCTGGTGAGCAGGGACGTTCATATTTATAGGCTATATTCCTAACGTGATCCCAGCTATCATGGGATCAGTTAATACCTATTATCTTTCACGTTCAAAATGGGATAAGGTTTAACGCTCCCACAATCCCTCAATTCCAGGAGATTAGTTGTTGACATGGTCATGACTTCTAATTGATTCAATCCACGTTTTTTAGGTATCCTTATCATGATACGGAAGTTCAAAACCTAACAGAAATGTGATGAGATTTGGGAGTAGTGCTTCATTGGGAAAGTATGATATGAAGATCATTAAGAGGAGAGTGCCCCTTAATTCACTGGATGATGAAAATGACTGCCTACATATCTCTGGGAAGGAGAATTAAATCACTGGTGCAGTTATTTAGAAAGATGATACTATGTAAGTTTTACATTGAGGATCATCTATGACGAATATGGTGGGGGCGTTAAAGAGATTAGTTCTCCATGGACTTGTCTTCGCGCAGGCTAGGGTGTTGAAATTCCTAGTAGTACGCCTAAGCTTGGGGATATTCAACCTTTTGGTCATCCAAGTTCCATCCATGTGCTGCAAATTGTTTGTTCTGAGCTTGCCTTCTCTTGGTACTTTGTGTTCTTGAAGACTTCTCTTAAGACCACTTCTCTTAGAACCAGATCTCCAACTTGAAGGCTTCGAGGTTTAACGCCCTTGTTGTAGTACAACCGAATATGCTATTGATAGGCGGCAAGCCCGACTTGGCCGCATTCTTTGCGTTTCTCGGCAAAGTCTCCAATGTGGTTTGTTCGTCAGTATAAAAGTTAGGCATCGTGATAACTTGGGCTGGGAATGATGGCTTTTGTCCCATAGGCCATGGAGAATGGGGTTCCCCGGTTGCTTTTCGAACAGTTGTGCGATAGTGCCTATAGAAATCCAGGCGACTCATATGTCCACTTGCTTTTCTTTACAAGTCTGTTCTTTACGCATTGCTGGATAGTCTTGTTTGAGGCCTCTACTTGCATGTTGGCTATGTATCACGGAGTAGAGGTAAGATGGCAGATGCCGAGTTCCTTGTACCCATTTCGTGCGCTATTCGTAAATCATTGCACAACATAACTTGAGTGGAGACTGATTGTGATCTTTAATGTTGCTCTGTTTGTTGTTTTCCATTTGTTGAAGATTTGGAGGAGGAAAAGAAAATGCTTGCCATGTAGATGATTATGATGATTAGAGGGACTACTCCAAAGTGCTTCATCTCTTTGTTCTTAGGCTATTTATAGTTTAATTATTAAGCTATTGCCTTATCATTTGTTAAAGTTGGTCAAACCTATGAGGAGTCCGTGATGATCATGTATGACACAGTCGCCTAATCACGTGACAAGTATTCAATAGAGTGGGGATGCCACTAAAATTATGCAGCAGTTGCAAGAGGGAATCTTTACCATGCATGCCCAAAAGTGAATCCCACTCTTGCCTCATAGACATTTTATGAATTTATTAACTAGAGTTTAACGGATATGCATTTTTTTAAAGAAAAAAAATAAAGAAAATACTTTGAAAACTTTGAGTTTTAACGATAAGGACAAAATAAAGGGTAAAGTGAATGATACCATGATTGACTTTTTAATGTAAAAATATGATTTTTTGTTTAAGTGAACAATACCGAGAGTTTTTCGTTAAAGTTCTTGTATTTTTTTAACATTAGGCATTTAGAATGTTTGAAAAGATATTTAATGCTTGTGTTTTTTAACTTGTGATATTAATACGAGCTGTATGAATGAGTATGCATTCCCTTTCTTTAAAAAACAAGAAACTAAGTACAAATAGGCTTTTTAGTTAAAATGATCACTGAGATTTGTGTAACTCATCAGTTTAATCCCTGAGATTTGAAATCAATAGAATTGGTCTCTGACTATATCCACCATCAATCATTTTGGTCCATCCTTGATAAATCTCCATTAAATAAGAATATAATGACCAAAATACCCTTAATTTTTGTCAAATCATTTTGGCACATTGTTTATTAAATTGAGGGTATATTTGTCACTTTGATCTTTATTTAACATAATTTTGCACGGTAAGAGCAAAATGATTGATGACGGACAATCTTAGGGACCACTTCTATTGATTTCAAATCTTAGGGACCAAAGTGATGTGATATGCAAATCTCAATGACCATTTTGGTTAAAAAGCCCTTACAAATAAGATCATCGTTAGATCTTTAAACCAAACATATCAAAATGTTGCTAAGAAATGATATCAACAGAAGAATAATCAAACCACGCACAAAAAAGATGTAATTGTGCCTCAACGTAGCAAAATCATGAATATGCATTCCTAATCAATAAGTTAAAAGTTAATTTCATTTTGATCAAAAAAATATTTTCAATATTAAGAATTGATCATTAAAAAATATCTCTTATTTAAGTTTTGAATTTGGCTACAATACTTACATGTATTTAATACAATCATGATTTCAACGTTCACAATTTGATTGTATTAAGTACATGTAATTATTTTAGCCAAATCCACAAAGAAACTAAAGACGTAGCAAACAAGAAATTCAACTAAAACACCCAAATGACTAAAGACGTAGCAAAAGTTGGTTGAGTTGTGACCTAAAACAAGAGATTTAGAATTGAAACTTCATTAAAACTTGACATATTTTTTTATTGAGAACACATTGTGCTTAGGAGTACATGTCACATGTGCATACAGATATATTAAGAGACGAAAAACAGACCAATTATTTCACAGTTTCAAATTTTCATTCGAAGGTTGACAGTTCAGTCTGTTCAAAGAAAAGGCCAGAAACTCCAGTATCAAGTAGCAAAGCCAGCTTCACAGGACCTTTTGCAGCTTCTTCAACTGTGAAAACTCCAGTGTGATTGTTCATGTCCGTGTCAGTAAAACCCGGACACACGGCGTTGATAGCAATTTTGTTGGAATACTTCTTAGCCAAAACTCTTGTATAAGCATTCAGAGCGGCTTTGGATACAGTGTAGGCAGAGAAATTGGCTGGCCAGCTTTTGGCTTCAACCAAATTCTGCTTCACATCCTCCAAAAATCCCTCAACGAGGTTGTCCACTTTCTCTTCTGTAAGGCTATCACCATCTCCTAGCTCCTTCTTCGCTTTCTCGTTTGGAATAACCTAAAAAAAATTGAAAAATTAATTCGATAATGTGATGTTATCTTGCATCTTATGTTATGTTGTCAGTCTAACAATGAGAATGCGAGATTTGAGACAAGGGTTTCGGAGGTGTACCCTTAATTGTCCCAATTGGGAGGAGACATTTACGATCCTTGCCGAGTCGGATTGTTGAAGAAGTGGAATGAGAGCTTCCGTGAGTTGCTTAATTCCATAGTAGTTTGTTTTTAAGCAATCCCTTGCTGTCTCGTAGGTTTGTTTTAGGGCTTGATTCTTATTTCCTGCTTTGGGACCTATAAGCTGCATGGTCATTTGCTCTTGTGAATATGATGTGTTATACAGTAGTGTTCACTAAAGTTGATATACGTATTTCGATCTATTTGCTAACATCTTATTTTCACGATCGAGGTCCTTGGTTTGAATCCCTCGATCCCTACCCCTGTTACATATTATTTATTATGTATATGGTTGTCTGAATCTGTATGCCTCTCCGTGTGTAGATTCAACCTACACGAGAGAGGGCACTAGATAGCTCGACCGACATTTTTAGAACCGTTCAACGGTTTAAGCTTTTGAGATCTGGCGATTCTCTAAACACAATGAATTTTCAAGAACTTACATCATCAGGCCCAATTGCCAACTTCTCTTTGTCGTCTGTGAGGAATACGGATCCGATAACTGCTGCATTATTTACCTGCAATATGAAGAAAATATTTATATATTATAATCAGCAGATTACATATATTTTTAACAGGACGTCCGCCGCTCTTAATTACTTGAGTTACAAGCCTACAAGCCTTTTAGAAATGCGTAGAAATAAGCTAGGGAAATTACCAAAATGTCAAGTTTTCCAAGTTGAGTTTTGAGAAATTCAGCCAGAGAGGCAATGCTAGATGGGTCAGTTACATCAAGCTGATGAAAAACCACATCAGAGAGGCCATAAGAAGCCTTCAATTTCTCAACGGCTTCTGTTCCCCTCCTCACATCTCTTGCAGTTAACACCACCCCAACTCCATTAGCTGCTAATTGCCTGCTAATCTCAAATCCAATCCCTTTGTTGCCTCCAGTAACAACCGCAATCCTATGAAAAAGAAAAAACAAAAATTAACAGAACATTACTCAAATCATGACTAATCCGGAACTGTTCTTAGCAGTTAACACTCCAAAATAATCATCGTTCGCTCGTCTCACTAACGAATAAACGAAAGATTGATGTACCTCTTAGACCCGAAACTGGTTTCTGCCATTTTTGTCGTCGACTTGGTTGTGGATGATAAATTTCAGATGGTTTACAAGGACTTCAATTATTTGTGCTTCACTGCTTGGTGTTCTTGAGGCTGTATTTATAGTTCATTGGCTATTGATTTGTCAAAGTTGGTCCAATCAATGCGTCGGTATCGGTCACGTATGCCATGACATAATATGATATTTCGACATAATATAATATGATATTTCCACTTTTAGTGTTCTAATTAATCTAATTCTTAATAATGAATATATACATTTCAAACACTTTCAATTACTTTTTGAGTTGAACATGTATTATTTTGGAGGACAAAAAAAATTTGAACTTGGAATCTATTATAACTTTAGAAGAAAAGTATCGTTATGTTTTCATATTTACAAGCTAGTGAACTAGCGGGTAATTTATTATTCGTCATTGACATGTCAATTCAATTTAGTCATGTGTTTAATAATGAAAAACTTGATATACATTGTTATCAATTTTTTTTAAACACAGTAATTAGTGGGCTGATAATTGTTTTACATCAACATGACATTATAATTTCATTTGTAAGTGGTCTTCAACACGATGTTTGACGAAGATATACATGTAAGATGCAAAATCCTCGAAAGAGGGCCAGATTCATTCGAATTTCAAGAAATTAATGAAGACTGGGCATGTAGGTTTTTCATGGGATTGGACAAGTACATGGTGGCATTATTTATGTATTTATTTTCCCTTTTTATTTTTATTTTTTTGTTCAAAAGCATTTTTTTTTATAAATATTTTTCAAATGAGAGAGACAAATTCGATTTGGCGAAACTGGGGAGAATTTGTGGCTAAGAAATTAGGGTTAAGGGGTCGGATGAATTATTTTCTATTTAAGAACCATAAGGTAAGGGAATAGTTACTAATTGTAAGATCCCACATCGCCTAGGGAATGATCCTTATATGTATATTCTCATCCTTACCTAGCATGAGGCTTTTTGGAAGCTCATTGGCTTCGGGTTCCGTAGGAACTTCGAAGTTAAGCGAGAATGGGCTAGAGCAATCCCATGATAGGTGACCTATTGAGAAGTTGCTCGTGAGTTCCAAAAAACAAAACCATGAGGGAATGGTAAGCCCAAAGTGGACAATATTGTGCTATGGTGATAGAGCGGGCTCAGGAAGTGATCCGCTCCAGACCGGGATATGACACTAATACTCTAAAAACTTTATTCTATAAACAAAAAAAGGAATAGTACTCTAAAAATTTTCGATTTAAGAAATATAAGTTAAAGGAATAGTTACTAGTACTTTGAACAGAAAAAAGTAAACACGGTAATACTTTTTTAAATAGATAAAAATCATGCATAAAATAATTCAAAAACTGAATTCAAAGCACTATTAGATTAAGTCATTATTGTCATGATAAATCATAAATGGATTGTATATGAAGTAAAAAGATGAATATAAAAATAAATGAAATATAGGGAATAATTGGTTTGTAGCCACAAGAGCTACCTAGGCTATAGCTAGACTTGTAAACGGGTAGGGTTCAATCCGACCTATTAATTTAACGAATCATTTAAACCTAATCTGTTAAGCTAACGGGTTATCTGAAGTCAATCCGTTTTACCCGTTAACAAATTTTTATGGTCCAGCTTTTTGAGGTTTTTCTTACCAAACCCCCCCCCGGTTGAAGAAAGCCTTATTGAAGAAAAGCCGTGCTCAAATTATTTTAGTCCAACAAAAAAGCACAAGGCCGCCAGGGACTGCAGCCGAGTCGACTGGACAAACCTCCCACACCAGCTTCCCCCACTCATTGCCGACCGCCTCCAAACCCACCTCGAACACCTCGGATTCCGCAGCGTCTGCAGCTCCTGGCGCTGCTCCATGCCCCTCTTCCAAAGTTCCAATCCGCCAGATTCCCTATTCCGCTCTCCCAAGGGCCCACTGCCTCCCTCTCCCAAACCACCGTCTACCTCGTCCGCCCCGACCCGGGCCCAAATTCAAGTCCAAAACCTTTCGCGTCATCATCTTCAACCTCTTCATCCATGGGTTGGCTGCTGAAGCTGGAAGAGTCTTCTGGCAAAATCCGTCTCCTGAATCCGATTCGGTTTGTGGAAAGCTCACCGACAGCGCTTGATCCTTCGGATCCCATTTTTTGGGGTTGAATTTTGCAGAGTCCGGATGCAGGTTAGAGAGAGAGAGAGAGAGAGAGAGAGTAGCAGAAAGGTTTTGATGGTGGCTGGAAGACTGTAGGAAGTCCAGCTACGATTCGCCGAGGGCAAAGTCGTGCATGGAATAAAAAAAGGATAAAAAGCAGGAAGAAGAAGGGAGGATGAGCAGGATCCGAGTCGAGTATTCCTTGAGTTGAGGGTGTATTGTTATTCTTCTGCACCTGCGCATCTCACACGTTCATCAATCACTGCAATCGGATTTCAGCTGAGGATTTTCTATTAGGACTATTGAAATTACATAAAAGTTCTCGACAAAGGGCGTTAACGGATGGTTATCGAAGTTTTGCGGGTTTACCCAAAATTTTAATGTTCTAATTAATCTAATTCTTAATAATGAATATATACATTTCAAACACTTTCAATTACTTTTTGAGTTGAACATGTATTATTTTGGAGGACAAAAAAAATTTTAACTCGGAATCTGTTACAACTTTAGAAGAAAAGTATTGTTTTGTTTTTATATTTACAAGCTAGCGAACTAGCAGGTAATTTATTATTCGTTATTGAAATGTCAATTCAATTTACTCATGTGTTTAATAATGAAAAACTTGATGTGCATTGTTATCATTTTTTTAACATAGTAATTAGTGGGCTGATAATTGTTCTACATCAAATGACATTATAATTTCATTTGTAAGTGGTCTTCAACACGATTTTCGTTCCCTCTTTCTTTGTTAGTTTGCATGATGCGGATGAGTTGCACCAAGATTTTTGACGAAGATATACATGCAAGATGCAAAATCCTCGAAAGAGGGCCAGATTCATTCGAATTTCAAGAAATTAATGAAGGCTGGGCATGTAGGTTTTTCATTTATTTTCCTTTTTCCTTTTTTTTTTTTTTGTTTTTTTTTTTTTTTTTGTTTTTTTGTTCAAAAGTATTTTATTTTTTTTAAAAATATTTTTCAAATGAGAGACAAATTGGATTTGGCGAAACTGGGGAGAATTTGTGGTTAAGAAATTAGGGTGAAGGGGTTTGGGTCAATTTGGGCCCAACAACACCTGAAAGTAGGCCCATTCCAAACGTCCTCCTTAAACCCTAAACCAGTAAAACCCTTTCCTTCCCCCTCTCTCTTTGATCACCGACTCTACGAGTCACAGACCAGTGACAGCCCCATTTTCCATTGGTGGATCCGACCCTGCTGGACCGCAAACCATGTCCGCCTCGATGCTTATGGAGCGTCCGAGACAGTTCTCCAAGCTTCTCTGCAGGCTGATTCTGACCCGACCCATGGGCGGCGGGCCTCGGACCTTCCCGGGCGGCGTCAGCAAGTGGAAATGGAAGCGCATGCACGAAAAGCGAGCCAAAGAGAAAGAGAAACGCCTTTTAGACCAAGAGAAACAGTTATACGAGGCCCGCCTCCGCTCCCAAATTCGGGCCAAAGTCGCCGGAAAGCCCGACCCGTTTTCAAGCACTGGAACCGGGCACAACCCCATGAACCCGAACCAGCACCTGAAGGCACTTGCCGATCGGTTCATGAAGGAAGGCGCAGAAGATTTATGGAACGAAAAGGACGGGCCGATTGTTGAACCGCCCCCGTCGGTACGACCGGACGGAACGACGAGATCGATTGCGGCGCCGCCGCTGGACCTGAGGAAGCTGATATCGAAAGGTCGTGATTTGGCGGGAAACAAGGACAGTGTAAATTTGAGTAATTTGGGTGGCAATTATGTTGGGAGTAGGAACTACTCGGCGCAGAGTGGAGGGCGATTTCGGAGAAATGATAGTTCTTCCGATGACTCGGATTTTGATTCTGACAGTGAGTCCGTACAGCCGTTTTCGAATGAGAAATCGAAATTTGGGAGAAATGTGATGAGATTTGGGAGTAGTGCTTCATTGGGAAAGTATGATATGAAGATCATTAAGAGGAGAGTGCCCCTTAATTCACTGGATGACGAAAATGATTTCGAACAGCAGGTGGAGGTGATCCGAAGCGAGCTCAATAAGAAAAAAGCGGTTGAAATCGAAAGAGAGGAGAGCGAAAAGGAGGAGTCAATTCTTAGCGAGAAGAGGTATGCAAGTAATGTGCTTTGGTTGATTGCATGTGGAACATTTGTGTTAACATGTTGAAAAGTTTTAGTCTTTGATGAGTTAAATGTTTGTCTTCTGATTGGTAACTCCTTTGGTTTTCGGCGTTTGGCAGATTTGATGAGTGTGGTATATCTCCATTGACAGTCAAGGCACTCACTTCTGCCGGGTATATTAAAATGACAAGGGTACAGGAGGCTGCTGTTTCTGTTTGCCTTGAAGGTCAGTTGGCTTCTTGTTTAAGTGAGATCTTTGTTATATTTATCGCCTTACCAGTTAAATTCTAATCGAAAGTAAACTGTAACTGTTGCCATGGATATTGTCAAAATTGATATTCTCTTCCTCTTACTAAATTAGATAGAACGGTAACGTTTGTGATTCAAATCCCAGTGATCTTGGGGACGAATGAGATCCTAAGGCCTCTAGGGTGTTTCCCATGGGACATTTTGTCAATCAGTTAGTTGAAAGCCACATGTGGTGTGATTGATATTTAAGTTCTTGTTCCTCCAGTCCGAGTAACTTGAGAGACAGTGGTGTGCTAATTGTTAGTAAAAACAACCAAACGCTATGTATCTGATGATTTTCCTTTTAATTTGTGACAGGAAAAGATGCGTTGGTCAAAGCTAAAACAGGCACAGGCAAAACTGCAGCTTTTTTGGTATATCAATTTTCCTTTTTGTCACTGTGGAGTGGTTCATAGTAGTTTAGGTTCTCTTGTTTTGTTTCTCTTGTTAAACACAAACAGCTTCCTGCTATTGAAGCAGTTGTGAAGGCTATGGCTAGCAATACCAATCAACGGGTGTCTCCAGTTTTTGTTCTTATCCTCTGTCCCACAAGAGAACTCGCAAGTCAGATAGCTGCAGAGACAAATGTTTTGTTGCGGTACCATGATGGCATAGGTATGCA